CTTTGGTCCATGGGTGTCACAGTGAAGCTGAGCACGTTCCCCTGTGCACACACGTTTGCACATGCGTGACCAGCCGCACAGGGCACAGCACCCACAGAAGCTCCATCAGGATTAACGTCTGCTAGTTATCCATGTATGTGTGCGTGCATCCTGGGGAGGGATGGGTGCTGCTGCTGCGCCACCACGTGCTGTTTACTGTCCGGGCTACAAAGCATCTTTGTTTCTCTCCTCAGGACACCCTGAATAACAACTCTCTGGCAAAAAAGCACAGTTGGCAGGAGCGGGTGTCCCGGTCATCATCCCCTCTGAAAACGGGTGAGTTCTCAAGCTGTTGGCCAGGGGCAGCTCCTTGCACTATTTTGTGGGTCTCAAGAGCCTGGGACAAGTGATGCTGGTGCAGGAGGTCAGGGAAACCATCCCACATGGATGCAGGGTGTGTCTGGGTGGCATCCCCAGAAGGGAGCATCACCCTCTATGGGCCTGCCAATGCTTCTCTTCTCCCCCTGCAGGTGAGCAGACCCCTCCCCACGACCACGTTTGCCTGAGTGATGAGGTCAATCACCAAAACAGCACAACCTCCACCAAAGACCGGGGCACATCCACGGAGAGCCCGTGCCGGCGCACAGCAGCCACCCAGATGGCACCCGCCTGCATCGCCACATCCCGGCCACCTGAGAAGCACCAGGCCACCAGCCGGCCCCCGCCGCACGGTGCCAGCGTGGTGGTGGTGACATCCAGGGTCCCTGAGGCCCACCGGGACCGCATCCACTATCAGACAGATGTAAGGCTGGAGGCCACGGAGGAGATCTACCTGACGCCCGTGCAGAAGAACTCGGATCCTCTGGAGACTGACAAGCCATTCCTGTCTCAGTCCAGCGAGAACCGCATGTCCATCAGCTCCGACGTCGACACCTCTGGCTACTCGGCCCTGGCAGGGAAAACCAACCCCTCCATCAGCGAGGAGGATGAGGTGCTGGACTACATGTCCTCCCCTGACAAGATGAACCTACCCAGGGCTTCCTGCGGTGCTGGGAGCAATGGCTCCCGGCCAGGGCACAACCTCCAGAGAGCCTCGGTGAGCTCGGACACCAGCGCCCTGTCCTATGACTCGGTCAAATACACGCTGGTGGTGGACGAGAACGTGCAGCTGGAGCTGGTGAGCCTCAAGCAGTGCTACTCGGGCTACAGCGATGAGAGCGACTCGGCCACTGTCTATGACAACTGCATCTCCTCGCCCTACGAGTCGGCCATCGGCGAGGAGTATGAGGAGGACGCGCTGAAGCGCGACTCAGTGTGCCTGTCCGAGGACTCCACTCCCGAGGCAGACATCCACTTCTCCAAGAAGTTCCTCAATGTCTTCATGAGTGGCCGGGCACGCTCCTCCAGTGAGTGCGGGGCACGGGGGGAGCTGAGCAGCAGGCACTCGGTACAAGGCTGAGGGCACACTCAGTACGTGGGAAGCCACCAGCAGACAAGAGCCCCAGTTCTTGCTGCAGCCTTTGTGGCTTTGTTCCTGGTGGCTGGGGAGGCATGGGGGGGCTTGGAAAAGCCTTGTGAGCCTGAGGGGTTTCAGGATGCTCTTTTGCCTAGCCCAAGGTATGTCCATACTGAGGGGGAGGTTAAGTGGTCTTGCAGGGGGATGGCACCCTCCTGGAGTGCTGCCCTTCTCCCCAGCCCCAGAGGAGCACTGGTGGTGGTGGTGGTATGTCCCAGAAGCAGGGCTTCCTGTGGTTCAGCTGGTCCCACAATGCTGGTGACACCGCATGGCTTTGTCTCTTCTGCCTGGCCCATGCCCATCCCTTGTCTATGGTGCTGAGACGTCCCCCTCTGCCTTCATCCCCAGGTGCTGAGTCCTTCGGGTTGTTCTCCTGCATGATCAACGGGGAGGAGCAGGAGCAGACCCACCGTGCTGTCTTTAGGTGAGCTTGCAGGCATGAGCGGGGCTCCCAGCCTCTTACAGGGGAAAGCTGGTGCTGCCCTCTCACTGCAGTGTGGCCAGCCCAAACCCCAGTGTTTCCACCATGGGAAGCCCCAGACCATTGCCTGTAGCTCGTGCCCTGCTCAGGAGCAATATCAGCCCAGGCTGCTGCAGGGGCAACACCTCTGAGGGCAGCAGGAGTGGTGCAATAGGGGTTATCCTTGCCCTTTTGAGTCTCAACCTGCTCCAACGCTTTATTTAGCCTGGGCCAGTGGTGGGATTTGTGTTGCCACCAGTGAGAAGGCCCCTATGCTGCTGGCCAGCCAGGCACCAGTGCCTCTCTACCCAGGTTTGTGCCTCGCCACGCGGATGAGCTGGAGCTGGAGGTGGATGATCCTCTGTTGGTGGAGGTGCAGGCAGAAGATTATTGGTACGAGGCCTACAACATGCGGACGGGCGACCGGGGCATTTTTCCTGCCTACTACGCTATTGAAGTCACCAAGGACCCAGACCATATAACAGGTACCAAGCTTCTGCTGACATCCCAATCTTGTGTCCAGCTCCTTTCCGCTGAGCAGAGGCTGGTGCCGAGCAGGGGGATGGAGGGAGGACCAAAGGCAGCCAGCATGGAGTGATAGGCAGCTTCTGGTGTGATGCTGGGAGCTGGTACCCAGTGTTGCAGAGCCAAGGGTGGGAATATGGAGAGGTAGATCTCAGCCTGAGCATTAGAGATGGTTCCCCCTATGTGTTCTCTCTTGCAGCTCTGGCCAAGAGCAGCGACTGGGTGGACCAGTTTCGGGTGAAGTTCCTTGGCTCGGTGCAGGTTCCCTATCACAAAGGCAATGACGTGCTATGTGCGGCCATGCAGAAGGTAATGTCCCACCCTACCAGCAGAAGCAGGAGCTCTTCCTGGCAGCAGGGCAGAACCTCAGTGGGGACAGGAAGGGGTGAGCCATCACCATTGCTCATGAGTCCCAGGCCTTTTTCTCTCTGTCTTTCCCCCAGATTGCCACCACGCGCCGCCTCACTGTGCACTTTAACCCACCTTCCAGCTGCGTCCTGGAGATCAGCGTGCGTGGGGTCAAGATTGCTGTGAAAGCTGATGACTCCAAGGAGCACAGCAAGGTAGTGCCCTGCTCGCCACTCATCCCATCCCTTCCCCAGCTTCTGCTCTGAGCACCATCACTGGGATGGTAGGCCCACCATCAGGGTCCTCTGTGCATCATGTAATCCTGGTTTTGGGCCATACAGCTGGCTGATGCCCTTGCATCTCCCAAAGATGTTGCTGTGCTGGGATGCTGAAAGCTGAGCTGTACCAGTAATCTGTCAGCTGCTCCTAAACCTTTCTGCTACTATTTTGAGTGGTGTCCTCCAGATCTGCCCTGTAATCCCTTTAGTGAGGGCAGGCTGCTGATTAGCATTCTGCATAAGCAGCCTAGCAAAGCATGTGCTGGGCAGACAGCTTTTGCAGCAAGCTGTTGGGAAACCTCCCCTACTGCCAGGGGTAGGATTAGTTTATGGCTCTAAGTGCTGTGACAGAGAGCTGGGCTGAGGTTTCTGCAGGTCTTGCCTTTATCTAGAGGATGCCACCAACTTAGTTGCTCTTTAAACTCCTGTAAGTAAGTTCTCATTTCTGGCTGGGGCCCTTTGAACACCCAGGCTTGAATGGCTTAGTTCCATTCACCTTCTATCCATTTACCTCAGTTATCCATTCACCTTCTATCCACTGGCATTTAGCGAGGAAAGACTGTGTGTGCTGGGTGAACAGCAGCACAGGCTCGTGCCAGAGTCTAACCCAGGGCCTCCAGGAGCTGCTTAAGATAGAGACAGCTGAGGTGGATGTTTGGGACCATCCTGAAGCTACTGGTAACAGCCCTGGATCAGGCTCTAGTTCATTTCAGTGCTCAATCCAAGCACATATTTCCAGGTCCAGAGCCCTGCTGCCCCACAGGGGAGTGGGGAGGAAAGCTCTGACAGCTCATTTCTCTCTCCCCAGGTAAACAAGTGTAGCCATTTTTTCCAGCTGAAGAACATTTCCTTTTGTGGGTACCATCCAAAGAACAACAAGTAAGTAGTGAGGTGCTGGGCAGCCCTCAATGCCAGCAGCTCAGCACAGAGGCTTTGCTGCCTTCTCACTGCCTGGGAGCAGCACAACTGGGGCTGGGAAGGGAATTGCATCACAGCAATGGGCATGGGCCATGGCTTGGTGGGGTTTGGGGGGTCTCAGGTCCCAAACCCTTATACTCAAGGGGATGCCTATTTGTCTGTTGGTCCAGTCACCCCCACTCTGTCTGCCCTCAGGTATTTTGGGTTCATCACCAAGCACCCTGCGGACCACAGATTTGCCTGTCATGTCTTCGTCTCGGAGGAGTCCACGAAGCCACTGGCAGAATCTGTAGGGTGAGTCCTCGCTGGGCAGGGAAGGCTTGATCCCAAAGGGCAGGAGGAACAAATCTTGCCATCTTCCCGTACATGTGGGGCTTGGAACTGGCCCCAGGCTGGCACCTCTTCCTTCAAGCAAGAGGCTTGGGTTGACAGCCAGGGCTGACAGAACTACAGGCACCATATTCCTGACAGCACTGGAACACATCCCATTGCAAGGCTTTGCAGGCAGACGGCTGAAAGTCATGTGGATGTGCAGGCATCAGGGCAGGGATGATCTGATGGCAGCTCTGGGTGCTAACACAGAAGCTGGGGGGCTGAAGGGTCAAACTGGCTGCAGGAGCAAGGGTGAGAATGGAAGCAGGGGTCTGTAAATGCCTTGTAGAGAAGGATACTGCTCAGCTTTGCCCCGTGCTGTGTTGCAGGAGGGCTTTTCAGCAGTTCTACAAGGAGTATGTGGAGTACACGTGCCCCACGGAGGACATCTACCTGGAGTAGGGGCTGGCACAGGCACCTCCTGCACAGCCAGGGCTGCAGTGTCGCCCCTTCCCCGTGTCGTGCATGGACAAGAGCTGCTTTGAGCCTGGAGGAGGAGCAGGCCCGGGGCAGGGCTCTCCGGGGCACAGGGTGCAGCCTCTTTTCGTGACTCCCCTTCCTTGGGCTGGGGGGGACGGGAGGGGGGAGGGCTGGACAAATCGTGTTTATTGTACAAAATACTCTTAGTTTATTTTATTGGAGAAGTACCTGCTGGGGGCCCTGCCTGTGAGCGCCGGAGCTTGCTCAGGCCCTTTCCTGCTGCAGGCTGGGGTGACAGCATCTCCTCCTTGTGACCATGGCCCAGCTTCCCGTCACATCCCTCTGGGGTGACTTTTAATGCAGAGTCAGATTCCTGCAATATGAAGACACAGCAGCTACAGCAAACAAAACCCATAACGCTGGCTTCTGCCAGGGGGATGGGCTTGCCTTGGGCAGGCATCACCTCCCTGCCATGCCCTGGGGATATAAAGGCTGCTGGGCAGGAATGACAGAGGAAGCCCCACTATCCCCTCTGCCAGAAACAGCACCAGAATGAGCTGAGACAGCTTACCCCTGCCTCTGCCCCCATCCCTCCCTTCTTGTATCCATGCCCAGGGGGAGAGACAGAAATGCCCCTCTATAGCTCCCTGCAGTAACTACACTCTCAGGAGGGGAGACTTTCTCTGCCCCTTTCTCCTCTCCCCCTGGCTGCAGGTAGCAGAGGCAGTGGCAGAGCTGGGTGCCTACCAGACACGGGGCAGGGAAGGGCTACAGCCTGTAGGGAGCTGAGCAAAGCACTGGGGAGGTAGAAGAGCTCTCCCGGTCCCTGCAGCCAGAGAGCTCTGTGCTTCAGCTGGATCTGCTGTGATGGCAACAACTATTAAATATGATGGTTCATGGAGCAGGGCTGCTGTGCTGTTTGTGTCCCACTGCAGTAGGTTTGGGTCCTGGCTTCCTTCTCCTGGGACCTCAAGAGGAGCTAGCTATAGAGCTTCTCAGATTTGGGCTGAGAGCCCTAGTTGCCTGAAGTCCAGAAATCATTGTGTGATGATCAGAAGGGATGGCTGGAGGTGACCTGCTCCAGTCCCCTCCCAAAGCAGGGTTTACCCTTACCCTACACCTACGCTGTCCTGCAGCGAGGGGTCCCTGGGGCCAGGCTGTGGTGGGCACACTGGTTCACATATGGGCATCATCATAGTACTCCTGCAGGTCGAGCTCATCTCTCTTGCTTTTGCCAGCTCTTTGCAGCCACTCCGGCCGCTTCCGTCCCACCCGGGTCCTGAGACGCGGCTGCTTGGGCTTGATGCCGTAATCTGCAGGTGGAGTGGAGAGGTTGGGCTCAGCCCCGGGCTGCTCACAGTGCTGGGGACAAGCACCAGCCTCGAGGGTGAGTGCAGAGAAAGCGGGATAGGGAGCATGCTGTACCATCCACCAAGCCAAAGTGCTGCTGTGGAAGCTCCAGGAGAGCAGAGAAGTCCTCGGGGACTGAGTAGCTGGCCCTGTGAAGGAAAACCAGGGGTGAGAGTGAACCGAGACCCTACAGCACTCACCCACATTGAAATAAAAGCTCCTACACACCCTTTGTCCTGACCCAGCCCAGTCAGGGCTTGAGGGCTTGGTGCCCATGCCAGGATCCCCGGGGTGCCTCTGCAGGTACCAGGGCAGCAGAGAGGAAGGGAAGGAGGAGGGAAATGCCATCACCTCTCATCCAAGGGCCGCGGGATGGCACCCCCCAGCAGCAGGGCGAGCAGCAGCAGCCACCACTGCATCCTGCACCCTGACTCTGGCTCTGCACCGAGGTCACAAAGGAGGCCCCGGGACACCAGCTGGGCTGGCAAGGAACAGACCCCCACCCAGGTGCTGCTGCCTCCCCCTCCTGCTACATCAGCTTCTGGTCCTGGGCTGTGTGGTCCTGCCCAGGTTCTGCTCACTGTTCTGTTCTCCCTGCACTGGTGCACATCCCTCCCGTGCAGCCACAGCTCCAGGGCTGTTTCCCTTTCTATGTCCCTCACCACCACCATGTTCCTCCCTTGCTACCCCTTCAAAAGCAAATCCCTTCATTTCATCTCAGTGCCTCCATGTCCCCAGGAGTGACCCCCTGCAATACCCAAATGAAGGGAGCACAGTTCTTCACTCACGGCTTTTTTACACTGCCACATTACAGGGAGGTGCCAACACAGAGCCCACTGCACTGTTGTCACCAACTGGCCCATCAGGAGGGTGTGGGCTATACCCCCCTATTTCTGAGGCAGAGAAGCTGTGATCCATGCAGGCCAGAGTCCCTGGATGATGGTTCATGTAGGAACCACTCCTGTCACCCGCTTGTGGCCAAGGCATCTGGCACTCTGCAGGTCTGCACAGTGCCACCAGCTGGCTGCCCTTTTGTCCTGGCCAAGGGAGCCTCCACAGCAGCGTGATGCCTCAACTGGCCCTCAGCGGAGCTGATACAGAAATGTGGCCATGGCAGCCCAGGCTTCTCTTTGGCCCTGTATTTAGTGTGGAACAGCAGTATTTGCTGAATTAATCTCTTCATTTCTCCTCTTCTCTGCCCTTGGCCAAGCCCATGAGCATTGGCTGGCAGCCATCCTGCAAACCCTTTTAGCACAGACAACTAGGTGCTAGGAACACAGCCTTCAAACCGAAGCTCTTTACCCCCAGGGGAGGCCCAGGAAACTGAGGACTGAACCAGGCACGTGGAGTTAGAAAGGCTGCTACAGAGGCTTCTAAAGGACAGTATAACCCAGGGTAGAAAACTGCAAAAGCTGCTCTTTCTGAGACAGACCCACACAGAAGGGGATCCCACACAGAGGGAGAGGTCCTTCACCTCAGTTCTTCCCATTCAGTCAGTTTATTGACAGACAAGCCCGCTCCAAGCAGATTGCCCAGGCAGGGCCAACACAAGCAGGCTGCAGGTCAACCTCAGCGCCACGAGGTGGGAGACAGTGCTCTCCAAAAAACCCCTGTGCTGCCTGCCTTTACGATAGCGCAGCTGTACAAAAGGAGAAAAATCAAGTGCTTAAAAAAAGAGGTTGTCCCATCACCATCACTGTAGCCACAGAACGGTCCAGAGAAAGAGGTGGCCAGGGTCCCTCCACGCATGTAGTGTCCATCATTCACAGCTAGATCTGTTAAAAATATGACATACACCCCCCTCCCCACCCTGCAGAACGGGAGCTTCTCATTGATGGTTTGAAAATTAGACATTATCAACATCCCTCCCAGCCTGCTTGCCCTCCTTAGAAATGTCCAGCCACAATCTTCACAGAGAACAATCATCATCTTCTCATCAGCCCCAGTTATAGAAATAGATTTTCTGCCAAGCAGGCAAGTAATCCATCAGTGGCCCTGAAACAAGAGAGCAGAGGAATCACGCATAGAAAGGCAAGAATTTCAAGCTACATATACAAGCTATATATATATATATCCCCTCTCATTATGATACCAAACAATCCCAAACCTCCAGCCTAACCCAAGAATAGAACAGTTACTTTTGTCAAGATGGGAGACAACTTTGGGATGTGGTGGCAGAGATCAGAGCAGCACCAAGTGGGGTGTGAAACATGGCCATGGTGTGGGACACCACTCCCTCTCAGCTGACACATCCAAGATTGAGTGGGAAGGGGGATCTACAATGTGCAAGGTGAAAACCTGGATGCAGTGAGTCAGGAGGACACTGCTGTGGCACAGGGAAGACAACTCAGCGATAACAAGCAGGTGCAAACACAGAAGCAACTGCTGTAGAGTGAAAATGCTTATGTAGCACATGGCTTAATACAGGCTTCAAAGCCTCTCTGAAAGCACTAAGTGGAAGGAAGCAGCTCCTGAGCTAGCCAACTTTGTGACCTCCCAAAAGAAAGGACAATGCCATGATGCCAGGCTGATCTAAAGCCGCATCACTGTCCTGAATCACTCCACAAAAGGCTTCACATCAGCAGTGAAGATGGGGAGGTGGAATTCTGGCCCATAATAAAGAGATTCTCTGGTGAAGGACTAGAAAAGATAGACCTGGTTTGGCCCTTTAGTTGCCTGGGTCAGTACCCCAAGGCACCCATTTACCCCTCATGTCTGCACTGCAGACTGGGAACGGATCAAGGGTTCAGAAACAGGGCTGCAAAGCAGGGCTCTGGTGAAGTGCAGAAAGGGAACCCAGGAGAACAGGCCTAGGTGACAGAGACCAAGCTCTGCAGCCTGGGAGGGCACACAGAAGTTTACCACTGCAGTCAAGTCAGGAAGCAGTTCATCCTTTCCTGTTCCAGTCTTAAACAGAGTGCACCTGTGCTAACCATCTAAGGGATTTCCCAATTCCTTCTTCAGGTTGGAAACCAATTGACAAACATTCTGCCCCTGATTTTTTTCCACCCAATAGGAGCAGGGATATAGCAGTGGGGCCCACTTACGTGTGACAAAGCCAACTCCAGGCACGTAGTCAGCCAGCAGGCGCAGGAGAAGGAGGATCCTGCCCCTAGGAAGGGAAAGAGTATGAACAAGTCCAGCAGGACACCTCCTGCCCCGGCTGTTGAATGCACAAACAGCAATGGCAGCTGTTACACAAGGGCTCAGATTAACCTGGTCACAGGCACCCAGACCTCTTCAGATCTACTCACCCTGTCCCTGATGCTATTTCTGTTAAAAGGGAAATTTTCAGCAAAAGCCCAGCAGGGGCCCCTTACTCTGAGTATCGGTCATAGAAAGGAGATCTCAGCAGGTAATACAGCAGTAGGATGGTTCGTCGCCTCAGCTCCGCTCGCTCTCGCCTGTTCAGGTCTTTCAGATCACTCAGCAAACTCAGACTGGAAGGAGAAAGGCACAGAGCTAACTCACAGCAACAGCAGCCAGCAAGGAGAGAGCACGTTTCTAAATGCTCTCCCTTCTCCGCTCCATGCAGAGCAGGCTGCATCAGCTCAAAGCAGAGAGCACTCTATGTGTTGCAGAAGACACCTAAATGTGTCAGTCTCCCAGCTAAAGACCAGCCCCTGTGTGTATTTCTCTCAGTGGGACCTGCCCAGGAATGCGGAACAGGGGAAAGTGTGATGCTCAGCTACCACCAACTTCAAGCACCCACAAAGCCTCTTCCTCAGACTGACCTTGAGATGTCCAGGACTGCTGAGAGGAGCCAGGGTTTCCACGACCTCTGGCCCCACACTCCTAAACTCAAGACTAGGAACACACAGTCAAGGAATGGAAAGAACCAGAGACACCTAACAGGAGGCATGAAGACAAGCACCCCATGGGTGCCAGCAAAGTTTTGCTGAGTGCAGAATACACTAAGGCAGTTCGGGGTGGGGGCAGGCAGGGAAGGGGCTGGAGGACTTGCATCCACAACTCCAGCAGCTGAGGCAAGCCTCTCAGGTGTAAAAGAAGGCAGGAGTCCTGAGGCCCTGCCTAGGCAGAGCAGGGCAGAGAGAGAGGAGCCTGGCACGGCAGTGCCCTGCACCAGGGCTTGAACCCATCCGTAGCCAGGGCAGGATACGATGGAGCAGAGGACGGGCAATGTAAAGGGATTCTGCGATGGTTTCTTGAAGACCCAGAGGGGTGGGAGGCTGGTTCATCTCCTCTGCTCTTCGGCTCTGCGACTCCTCCCTCTGTTGGGGGGACCCCCAGTGCCGGGACTGCAGGGATGGGGCTGAAACAAGCACATCAGGTCAGTAACACAAGCAAAACCTTCCTCCCATGCTTTCCTGAACCACCACTCTGCTGCTTTCTGCACTGTCAAAATGTGAAATGGGAATGCTTGAAGAGCTGAGCACACAGCAACTGTTGTGGCTGACCTGCACTCTCACAGCCTTGCCACCAGAGGGGACAGAACAGGGAGAGGTACTTGCAAGGTCTGTGCTTCCTAAAGCATAATCAGGCTGAAGGGCTGTTTCCCTGTTGCTTTCATATCCCCTCATCCATAGTGACTGACAAGGTATGTCCTAGTAGAAGGTTCTGCTCTTTACGGCCCACACCCAGGTCACACATAAAGGGCACAGAGCAGAAACAGCTCAAGCAAGGACAGAAAACAGGCTCAGCTACTTACTGCTCTGAAGAGAGCGCACAACACGGCTGGAACGCTTGCCAACATAGGTCTGATCCTTCCCTGAGGAGTTGTCTTCCATGTCTGCAGGAGAAAACAGCCACAGGGGTGAGGCTTCAAAGGAAAGTGCCTGACCCCAGAGCTGGCAGAACCCCTTCCCTACACTGCCAGGCTGAAAGTTTGATCTAGTGCAAACCAGACTATGCTCAAGGGGCTAACGCTACACATGGAATGAAATCTAAATCTGCCTGGCATCACCCAGGCCTAGGATCTCTTTCCTCACTGCCAGACCAGGGGACACACAGCTTGACTCAGAGTTCAGCCAGGGGCTCACAGTTCCAGCCTTAGACTCCTCAACCCCCTCCTTCCTGACTGTAGGCCAACCCTGTCACTATGCTAATTCGTGCTCTGCAGAGGGTGGAAAGTTCAGTGTAGCTCAGCTCGTGTACTGAAGTCTTACAGCTCCTTGTGCCACACAAACTGCTGCTTTGATGAGTAATTCCCAGCAGAACAAGACATGTGGCCCAGCGAGGCACCAAGCCAATGATGGAGCTCCCAGGGCTCACCTTGGGGGTGGAGAGGCTGCTGCTCCCTGTTCAGCGGCACGATGGGAGGAGACATCTGGATGCCACCTTTGTACCACAGCAGGAGCAGGAGGCGAAGGATGGCTCTGTGAGCAGACACGTGGAAGCCTTCAATACCAGGCTACGGAGGTGGGTTCCTGGTGCGCTGGGAAGGTGGCTTCCACAGAAGAGGGAAACACTCAGGTCTGCTCAGGGAAACTGGCAAGGTGAGAGGGGGAAATGTCCCCTTCTGTGGCACAGTACCCACCAAACTGTGGGGCTTCAAATTCCCCCAGCCTCAGGGACTGCCAGCTCAGTCCTGCTTGGGCTTTTTCCAGGGGTACTGCTGAGACCCCTCCAGATCCCCTTACCGAGCACATGCTGCCCCTTCCCCTCCGCCCGAAGCACTTACTTAGCCAGCTGGATGAGGACAATGATGGTCCACCGGCCCATCTCCCCCCACACCCTGGCTGTCCCCATCTCTGCAAAGACCTCCACGCATTCTAGCACACTCAGCCAGGTCAGCAGCTTCTGCTGGGGCAGCGACTGCAAAACACAGAGGGGAGGAGGGGGACAGGATGCAGGTTCTGCAGGGGAGTTAAACAGGGCAGAAGTACACCCAGTCTGGTGGGACCCTCAGAAATAAGCACAAGATGGGCTTGGAAGTCACAACCCCAGAAACAAAAAGTGGTGCCCCCACTTGCAGCCAGTCTATGCAAAAGCCCAAGACACCACAGTATCACACAGAGCCACTACCCTAGAAATAGGGAAAACATTACAGCTGCATCTTGGTCTGCCTTCTACCCCAGCTGGGACAGCAGGACTGTCTCCTGGGTTGTGGCACTGTGCCCAAACTCCACAGCAAAACTTTCCTCCTTCTTGTCCCAGAGCTGGATTACACAACGAACCTCCTTTCTTGTTAGAGTTGATGAGGGTGTATGGTCAGAGTAGAGGGAAGGGGATTCAAAGTCACACCAGAGTGAATGCCTGCTGAATACAGCACCAGTCTAGATTCCAGGCATGAACCACAAGACAGCGAATGCTTTTCCAGTCTGGGTCCCTGCTTCCCACACAGGAACTTGCTGGTGCCACCAACCCCAGGAGTAACTCATTGAAAAGCACCAATAAAAGCAATACAGCTGAACTTCACACCAGCCTTTCACAACTGGAGAAATAAATCTTCCACACTGCTGTTTGTTACATGCCTGTCGGTCCAGCGAAAGAGTTGCCTACACCCAAACCCACACAGCAGGCAGGCTTGCAACACAAGAAGCCTGTCTGGGAAAAAATACCCTCCTCCTCATGCCCGCAAAGGGTCTCACAAGTGCTGGGAGCCAGCCTGGGGCTTGCAAGAGAGACACAGAAGCAAGGTGCTTCCATTTGGCTTGCTCAATAGCATATGTAAAAGAACAGTCTAAGGGACAGAATCAGAGCTTCAGCGCTCCAGAGCCACTGCTCTGGCACAGCGACAGTTATGTGGCAACACCTTTGCCCAGCTCAAGTTCTGCCCTCAGAAAAAATAACAGCAAAGTTCCCAGTGCAAGTCAGGGACTGATTCTGTGGTCCAGGGAGTGTTCTGGCCACTCCTCCAAGCCGTGAGCTTGGGTAGGGCATTCACATGTTGCCTCCGGCCTCTACATACCTGACAGCAGAGAGACCACAGCAAAACCTGTTAATTTCTACAGACACTCCCTGAGATCCTCTGCAAGGAAGAAAGCCATGTGGCCCAAATCCTCCTGCACATTGCAGCCTTACCACGGGCAAGCTCTGCTGCAGGTCCTTTCGGATAATCCAGTCGTTTAATAGCACCAGGAGGTTGGAGGCAGAGTACACTAGAAAGGGAAGAAAGGCACACCACAGTTATGGGATGCACAAACCACACACCAGCCGGGCACTACTGCCTCTTCCCTGGCGGGGGACGAGAGCAGAAGAATAGCGAGCTGCGCAGAGGCTGCGGGAGGAACACAGGACACAACAGCGGGCTGGGGGATCGGCTGCCACCTACCCAGCTCCGACAGCGCGTGTGAGTCCGAGAAGCGACCTGCGAAGGGAGGACAGCGGCTACCAGCCCGCTCCCGGCCCCAGTGCCCCGCAGCGCGGGGCAGGCGCCTCAGCCCCGGCCCAGGCCCCATCCCGCACCTGGCAGCAGGTAGGACAGGCCCCGCACGGTGCCCTCCAGCTGCGCCGTGGCGGCCGGGTGCCGCCGCACGTACTCCTGGTAGCGCTGGCACAGCAGGCGCAGCCACCACACCGGACCGCGGCCCCCGACCGGCTCCGCTACTTCTGCTGCTGCTGCTGCTGCTGCTGCTGCCGCCGCCATGGCTCCCTCAGCACCGCGCTTCCGGACACCGCCACCGCGCCTGCGCGCCAGGCCCGCCCCACTCAAGCCGAGACAGCGAGCCAGGCGCGGCAGTCGAGCGGCCGATGGGCCGCTTTAAAGGAGCCGGAGCGGCCCCGCCGGGTGGGTACGTGTCGGGCTGCGGGGCACCCTGTGTAGGGCCGCGCTCCGCGCTGTGGGGCGGCCTGAGTGGGGCCGTGGTACCGCAGGGTGAGGAGCCGGGATGCGGGTCAGCTCTGGGGGCCCCGGAGGGACGCGTGGTTCGGGCGCTGCAGCGGGGCGGGGGTCGGTCCGTGCACGGAGCCGCCGCTCCGTGGGTCTGGGAACCGGTAGCGCTGTGTTCGGGGTGCGGTGCGGTGAGTGCTGGGTGCCCTGTGGGGGTCGGGGGAGGTGGGCTCGGAGGGGGGGATGTGATGGACATGGGGAGTCCCGTTCGGGTGGCCCCGGCACCGTGTGCCTGCACCTTCGTGTCGGGAAGCGCCCGGTGGGACGGAGCGGGCAGCGCAGCCCCGCTGGTGAGCAGGCGGAACGCTCCGTGCTCCCCGGGTGTGCGGGTGGGAGAGGGGGAACTGCCCTCGGGGCCGCAAGCTGCGGGCAGGGAGTGGAAAAGGATCGGGGAGGGACGCGGGGCTGACAATGTCGCGTTCGGTCGTCTTCTGTCGTGTGTGTGTGGTGTCCCTGCCCGCGACCTGGGGCTGGAGGAGGCTTCGGAGGGCAGCGAAAGGGAAGGAAGGAAGGAGGGAGCGCTGAAGGGGGAGCAGGGAGGCAGCCAGGACCGTGCTATCAGCGCTTCCCGGCTCCTTCCCGGAGCCCAGCCCCAGTCACTCTGCTCTCTATGGCTCTTAAGCACTTCCCCCCGTTTTCCAGGAGGGGGGCAGAGGAGTGTGACCTGCCTGGCTGCAGCCTGGTGCGAGTGAGGGCTCAGACCTGTGTTCAGGCCACCCCTTCCTCCTCCCTGCCGTGCGGAGTGGTGCTGGGCTACATGGACTCCATCCAGCTCTGCCTTCCCACTCACCCAGGGAGACTTATCCTGGTGCCCTCCCTGCCGTGCACTGCTGTCCTGAGCTGGGCCTGGCCCCTCGGCACACCTTGCAGTGCAAAGATCATCAGCGGTTGGCGCACATGGACGCGGCTCCGTGCCTCCCTGCCGCACCTTTAAGGGTGAGGAAGGTGTTTCGTGGCCTCTCATAGAGCACAAAAAAGAGCTCTGCCAAGCTGCCCCTCCTTCCTCCTGTCCGGTTACCTCCGCACAATAGACCCAGTGTGTGCCTGCAGGTTCCTCGGCAAGAATTACAGTTACATGGGCAGGCACTTTATCCTTTCTGATCTCGCCTCTTCTCTTCTCCCCCCTTCCCCCGAGGGTTTGTTTTCCAGCAGGCTGAGTTCAAAAAGGGCACGAGATACTGCTGGCAAACAGTCTGGCGCTAAGCAAACCTTTCTGGTCAGAATCACATGGATTGCACCCAACTTTCCATTCACACGCAGCGCTACCTGTGAGCTCCTCTGAATGTCACAGAGGTGGAAGTACCGGCGTGGGTGAGATAGCACCTGAAGCCTGTGACAGAGGTGTGAGCTGGCTGGGGATAAACGTGCACTGACAATGACTCTAGGGGCATATCCAGTGCAGACTGCTGGAGCTGCTCTCCTTCAAGGAGGAGCTCTGGCAGACAGCAATCTGAGAGCTGGCCGCCTAGGAGACTGCCAAAGACACCTTGTCTTCAGCCAGAGGTGAAGCTTGATGCACAAAGTCCTTGGGCTGCTCTCAGCAGCAGAGGCAGATAGTGCAGTTCCGGCCCTGAGTGAGAAGCTTTTTGGCTGATGTTTCCTCTTATCCCTTGCCCACAGCTTCCCTCCCACCCATTGTCTGCCCTGTCCCTCTTTCTGCACGTCTCCCTCCCACAGTGAGTGAGTTTGGAGGACAGTTTGAGTAGCATCAAGCTGCCTTTTTATGGTAAATAGGCTGTGGGGGAGCACTGTAGCAAGGGTGGTGTCTCAGAGCAGCAGCAAGCCCATGAGACCGAGAGAGACTTAAATCGCCTTGGCTCATGGTGCCAGCACTGGGAGGGCAGGAGGTGAAAGGCTGGGATGAGGGGCTAGTTTCTGTCTCCACTGTACCCAGAAACATCTCTGAGCAGCTCTTTTATTAGCCCTTACTGTCAGTCTGGGTGCCAAGGGCTCGTGCTTACTGGAAATCCACTGGCTGTAACCGAGGCCAAATAGTTCCTGTGCTCTGATGACGAGGGGTGCAGGCTCAGCACTAATGGTAGGAAAAAGAAGCAAACCAAAAAAAGCAATCACTGTGCCAGCCCATCACTGGGTACAGTGCTTCAGTCCAGCTTGCTTGGCTGCCAGCATCTCACTCTTAGCTGAGATCTGCGAGATCACACTGTTCCTGGGGAGCCTGATTCCAGGCAAAGCACTGCTGTGGGTCTGAGGCAGCTCATCCTAAGGAAGCCTTGCTCCAAACGTGCCTTGCAGGGTGCTGTGGTACGTGAGGATGTGTTGGAGCTGGGGAGTGGGATGCAGAAGAATAGATTCACTGTAACTGATGCTCCAATCTGTGTTGGGAGGTTGGTACTTGTGGGGGAAGTGGATGTTCTCCCCAAGCATGTTTCACTGCTGTCCTTCCACTGCTGGAGGAAGGAGCCTGCAGTGTAAGGTGAGGGAAGTGGCTCTTTCCAGCTGTGGTTGGAAGGGAGCAGTCCTGGTGTAGGATGCAGTGGCCTTCCTGGCTCTGTCTCCTTGGGGTATCCCTTCCTGCGCTGTTCAGCTCCCACACCATGCTGTGGCCGTCTATTTTCTTGCTTCTGGATGAGCTCAGCCAATACTTTGGGATAAATTGTGACTCACTCCAGATAACCTGTAGACAAGGCACATCCAGGGAGTATTTTAGTCCCTGACACATGAGCCCTGCCTAGAATGGAAGGCCTGAATCATTCACGGTGCTGGAGGCCAGCACCTTTCAGGAGAGCTCCAAATCTCTGTCCAAATGAGGAGACAAGGGCAATGCAGGCCCCGTGCATGGCATTGCTAGCGGTGGCAGCTTGTGCCTCTGATCTCCGACAGCCCTCCCAGGGCCTGGGAAGGCAGCAGCTGGCTGCGGATGTTGGTGGGGTAGCCCTTGAGTTCCTGAAGTGTTGCTGACAGGTCTATTGCTTGAAGCAGTAGCCTGAGGGGAAGGGAAACCCAGGTCAAACAAGGTTAAGGGGCCTTTTAATGCGTATTTTGACTTGCAGGGGTTTTGTTGCTGTTCTCTGTCGGGGTGTCCCTGCCCTTCCCGACTTAGCTGAGACTTGGCATCTCAGGAGAAAGGCTGGTTTTGGCTTCCCAGGAGGAGCAATGCACCTGGCAATGTGTGCAGAGCCCTGCTGCGGGATGGTGACCGCCTCCTGCCTCCTGATGCCTTTTCCAGAAAGCCGTTTAGAGCCCCAGGGTGTTACTTGGATAATTCCCTTCCCTGATTCATCAGCAATGTGCCTTCTCTCCTGTAACATCCCAAATCTGCCTGTGCTAAAGGCTGAGAGGGAGAGGCCGTATCTTTTAATAACCCTGTGATGCACTTGGAAAAAACTTCTGGACATGCAGTTCTCTGGTGGCTTAAGTCAATGGAAACACTCCAAGGCAGAGATGCAGCTTGGCCCTGAAGGAGAAGCAACTGCTTTGGGGTGAGGGGGGCAGCTGCTTGTGGGTTCTCATCTCACCTTGGCTTCTCTGACCCTGCCTGGAGAAGGCAGCAGACACAGATCAGTCCTACCACGATGCAGGTCTTGCAGGTCCCTTGTGCTCAATAGCTGCTGGTGGCTCATACTCGCTAGGTATTGAGCCACTGAAGGTGAGCTCTCCACTGTGGAGGTGGTGCTCTTGCCATGTGCCCATAGGATATCTGCTTTCCTGTTGATGCTGGTAACTGTGCTGTGTGGCGCAGCTCCATGTGTGGCAGGCACATGTCTGGCTGTTCCCACTCGGAATTAGCAATGCTGAAGGTGCTTTTGCTTTTCCAGCTCTTTGCTTCTGAAACTACCCAGCCTTGTTGCTGGCAGCTTTTGCTTCCTATCCCAGGTGGGTGCCAGGGGCTTGGCTCTTACCTGCTGAACTGCTCCCTGGAAATACAGGGCTCTAGTAACACCACAGGGAGGGTTGTGACTGCAAAAGGGATGTGTGCCAGGCAGCACACTGGTTTGTATCCTGCTTCCCCTGCTCCAGAGGGGAGGTTCTCCCCTTAGACTTCTTTCATCTGAGGTGGGAGCTGACAGATCAGGACAAGCAGAGTGTGGATGGATGGAATAGATGTCTGTTCACTGAAGTGTGCTGTAGTGTCCGTACATGTCCACCTTGTAGCCAGATACTGATGGAGACTCACAAAGCAGAAGTAATGTCAGGTTTTGTTGCTGGAGGAGTGTTTTGCTGTGCAGTGGTGGTGCTCTACTGCTTCGAGTTGCTGGGTTTCACTGTTCAGGGAGCAACTCACAGGCTAAATGTTGTCAATGATTTCCAGCCCTTGTTGGGATTGATGCTGTCTCCCTTGTTCCATGTTGTGCTGTACCAGGCTGACCCAGGTCTGCTGTGGCTGAAGGGCTGCAATAGAGCTGGTGCCCAGCACCCTGCATACATACTTCTCTGCTTAGGGTTTTCAAACAGGTGGGGCAGACCAGAAAGATGGTTTTGGTTGGGTTTACCTGCTTTGAAGGTCCTGTTCCTCCTGCATCTTGGAGCGATGATGTGTGGATAGAGGGGCTCTAAAGCAAAACTCCCAATTCTTTGATTCCTTTGCCCAACTTACTTGCATGGCTCTGTCCTTCTGGTTTGGGCTTTCTCTCCATAAGGAGGTGATAATCCTTGCAGCCTCCTGGGAGAAGGGATCATCCATTCCAGCCTGCATGTGCAGGCTGCAGCACAAGCTGCATGGTGGGTTTTGCCTGCCTTCTCTCTCCTCTGCCTTTATCCTTCCCCTCTCCTTGTTGTGCATCTATCTGGAGAGGCTCTCTCGACTCCCCTTTTGGGACTGCCCAGGGTATGTCACAGCACTCAGGTTACTGGACATGATAGTTAATCCCTTCATTGCCTCACGAGCTAAACACTTGCTACTGCTATCATGTTTGGGAGGGGGCCAGGGAACTTGGATCCCTGCCCCAGCTCCTTGTCCTGCTGCAGTCAGTGTGAGGACTTGTGTGTTGTGATGGACTGTGTGTGTTGCACACTGGTTGTGGCTTTGCCAGCGCTCCTGGGGACACGTGTGCAGTCCTTGCATGGCTGGGGAATGTGCTACAGTGATCTGGGAGTAGGAACATGCAGCACACATGGGCTGCCTGGGTAGCCCTGTGTTGATGCCAAGCTGTGCTTTGTAACAGGCTGGAGAAAAGGACAAACCCAAGGTGCTGGGTGCTGCTGATCTATGACATTCTTGGCTGTGCAAGGGCTCGTACCCAGAGCTCTCTTATGCAGTAGCTCTTCATGTGACTGTCTTTTGGGTTTCAGGTGACAGCAAGCTCCCTCAAGTGCAGCTGAGATGTGCTATCTGCCCTTCACGTTGAGAATCCCTGGTTAAAGGGTGGTCCTCAGCCACCACCAGGCCCTCCCAGCTTCTCCAGCTATTCTCAGCCACCCCTGCAACATTGGCAGCCTCCAAAGGTCAGTTATCTTGCTTGTTAAATAGATGGTTTACATGTTCTTGCTCCTTTCCTGGCTTAGTGTTTCTCTTCCCAAATTGGTAAACTAGGGATAATTGCATGGCAGAAGGTCTTGATTCTGTGGGTCTCCTCTCTACTGGGTATTTGGGACCTGTGGGGAGGGTGTGCAGACAACACTGGCAGTTGTAAGCCCCTTTGGCCCAGTCCCCTGGAGGGAAAGGCCAGATTCCTTGCCTGAATCATTGGAACAAAGCGAGGTTCCATCTCCAAGGGTGTTTCAGTTGAACTTCCCTTGACCATGCAAGTCTGGATCCTTCTCCCCAGTCACTACTATGGTCTATTGCTTGTTTCTAGTGTCGTGGGCAGTAGGTGGCTGGGACCTGGGCTGAGGAGCTGGGACAAGCTCCCTGGGCCAGGGGAAATGGGAGCTTGTGCTGGCATTGTTCTGCCCTGGAAGCTTCTTTTCCCTCTGTCCCTTATACTGAGTGTTTCTTGGAGGGGCACTGCTCACAGCAGCCACCTCTCTTTCTCCTCTGCCCCTCATTAGTGCAGGGCTTGGCACGCCAGCAGGAGGGGGCCTCAGCGTGGCTGCGCCTTGATCGGATTTGTCAAGGCTCCTTCCCTTTTCTTCCTGTTCATTGAAGGCTGAAACAAAGCAAACAGAAGAGAGGAATGCCAAAGAATAGGAGCGAGGGAAGAGAGGGATGCTGGAGTGACAGGCTGCCCCTGCACACACGCACCCCCCTCAGTCTCGTGGGTCAGAGCTGGAGGCAGAGCATTTCGGGAAGCGAGGCCATTCCCCTGCACTCCTGTTCCCAGCTATTCCTTGCTCCCTGTGCTGCAGCCCAGAATGCTCCTGTCCCCACTGCTCAGGTAGTTTCCCTGTTGAGCGCTGTCCCGAAGCAGTGAGGAATGGAGGCTCAGGCTCGCTGCCTCCTCCGCACAGGCACGTGGGGCTGAGCGCAGCTTGAGGGAAGCAGGGCATTGTTTGAACTGCTTTGTTTGTCATGGGCTGTGGTTAAAGGTTTCCCTCTTTACCTGTGCCAGGAAACCTTCCCCTGCCAGGAAGCCCTGAACGAGCCTGGCAGAGCTGAACATCCAGCCTGGGTGCCAGGGCAGCCAGGCACCAGCCCCTCCCCAGCCTGGAGCCAGATAAGAGCTTGAGCAGGGCTCTTCTGTGCAGACAGGTTTGTGAAGTGGAGACGAGCTTGTTCTGGAGCTTGTATTGTTTCCCAGGAGGCAGGGGAACCAAGAAGGGAGTCATGGCCAGCCAGGCAAGGCTGCCACAGGTAAAGCTTTGGCTTGATGGAGCCCCTCGCTCCCTCCTCTACCATGCCCAGGCCCTCATGCAGGTTCCCCTTCATCCCGCTATGGCTTGGACTGGGGAGGCAATAGGTTGCTCAGCACCCCTGGCATAAAGTACTTGAAGTAAAATTCATCCCTACCCGTGCCCCCCCTCCACCTTGCATATAAGCCACTAGGAATAGCCTTTAAACCGCAGCCTCTGTTTCCTTTCCTTCTTCCTCCTTGTTCTTCACCTTCTGGCAATCTCTGCCCTCTGTGGTTTAATTAGAGAGCACAGTGAAGTGCTTGGAGTCCAAAATGTACAGATTAGGAGGTTGCTGATCCTATCCCTAAATGGGTGCTCACATCCTGCCCGGTCTGCTATCCAGCTTCTTTTCACCCAGAGGAAACTCAGCCAAACTCAAGACCTCTGCCTCTCCCCTTGCTTACTGTGCAGGGGAGGGGGGATGAGGGGTGACAGGAGAGCTGTTGGGAAGGAGGGAAGTGAGCTGTGGATTTCCAGCGTTCTCAAGGTGGGTTTGTAGCTTGCACTGGCCATCTTTGCTTCCTGTGTCCTGGATGGATTTGATGCTCCAGGAGCAGCAAAGCAAGGGCTTGGTGTTCTGGTGTGGTCTTTTTTTGGAGTGCTGTCTTCCTGTTCTGATGGAAAACCCCTTTCTGTGGGAGGAAGTCACTGCTTCCTTGTGTGTGCGTTCGCATGTGTTTATATGCTGGGTGACTCGGTTCAGGGCTTGTGCCTTCCCTGTGTATACGCACCTCTCTCTGTGTTCCCAACTGTCTCTCCTGCACTCTTATTCCCAGTGTATGCCCAAGAGAGCTGTGCTGCAGCATTGCTGAAAGCACAGGGCTCCCTGCTGAGAGCAGGAGGCTGGAGCCTGGCAATGCTGTGTGAGGCTGGTCATAGCCTCATCTGTGGAGGCTTACATCCCTTTACGGGACATGCTGTCAGTGTGAAGGGGAAGGTGAAGTATTTGCTGTTCCAGATGGAGGCACCAGCAGGGAAGAGGGAGTAGAGAGGATGAGTGTAGTGGGAAGGATAAGTCTCTTCCTGGAGGTAGGAGGGAACCTTGACCCTGATGGTCACAGGATAGGCTGAGCTCCCATGCCTCTGTCCCACTCCTGGTGCAGGCTGGGTGCTGCACGGAGATTGCTGTGGATTGCAAAAGAGCTTTTGTCCTGAGCCACTCGTCTGCTGCTTGGCTGAGCTGAGGGATGCTGTTCCTTCCCGGCCTTTGTCCTTTGGTGTGCGAGTTCAGGGTTTAGCTCAGCAGTGTGAGAAGCCACGGGGATGAGAACACAAGGAGCAATGGGAGGGGAGAGTGCTGGGAATGGCCAGCACGAAGTTTGGCTGTTGGGAGTATTCCCCTTTCCACTGTCTGGCTTTGGGAAATGCCTCCCATATGGAATCCACTTCTCTCTCTCTTTTTTGCCCCCATCACTTGCTACTTCATTCCCAGTTTGCAAAAATGCCCCCTATGCTTGTTTGTAGTCCCTTAGGCTGGCCAGCAGCTCTTCCTCCACACTGTTGTAGGAGCCTATCTGCAAGGTAGGCTCTCTGTAGCTCAGGTGTCGCTTCAGGCCTCAGGAAATGCTCAGGGCACCCTGAGTGGACAGCACTATCACTGCCTGGGTCTCTCAGAGCCTGCCCTGAGCCATCCTCCTTTGCTATTTATAGCGCAGTTGTTCCATTCCTCTGTGGACGAGCTCTGCTTTCAGCCTTGCTTGGGCACTGAGGGCACCAGTGCCAGGAATAGCTCTGGGCAAGGAAGACATGGGAGTGGCTGCTCAAGCACAGATCCCAGTTTGGGCCAGTCCAGGCTGCATCCATGAGCTCTGGCTGTTGGTGAGCATCAGCCTCCCCTGTGGCACTGTTGGTTTTCATGCAGGGGAAGTGAGGGGATTGCCTTTCCTTGCCTGTGTGCATGCCTGGCTCCCCTGCGATCCTGAGAAGAGTTCAGTGCTGCAAGAGATGGCATCTGGGAGAGTTGCTCCAGGGTCAGGTGGAGTGAAGGACCTTGGTGTGATGTGCTTGCACTGTGGAGGACAGTTGGCATGGAAAGCCCTGCTCCTAGCGTGTCCTTCAAGCAGTGGCTTTGACCTCTTATGCATCCTGAACAGTGCCCATTAGGGCAGTTGCCTTGGGTGGTTACCCATTAGGGCGATGCCTTTTTGGTAGGGCACCAAAGAGGTCCTGCTCTTCTTCCCCCTGTGCTTGCTGGCCTCAAGGGAGTTCCAGATGAGGTCTGAAAGGAGCTTTAGCACAGAAAATACCACCACCGTCCTCAGCATGGCTGCCTGGGCAGAGCCACTCCGGCCCTTTGGCTCGTGATGCTCGCAGCTTGTCTGGAGAGCAGACCTGAACAAACAATTAATTGCTTGATTTAGTGCCCAAAATGAAAAGCTGGAGGGGAAGTAACCACAACCCAACCCAGCCAGGTTTGAGAGCCCCTTCATCTTTTCTTCTAAATGTAACATAGGTCAGCTTCCAGCAAAACAATGCAAAATGAGATTTTTTTCTGCTTGGAAAACAAAGCCTTTTGTTCCTGTCCAAAACTTGTCTGGAAGTAGCAAATAACTCTTGAGCTGTGTGCAAAGTGCAGTTTTCAATCGGTAACTATTCACCCAAAGCCACTCACCCAGCTCAGGGTGACCATGCATGCCAGGCACCTGAGGGCCTAGATCACAGCCATGTCCTTGGCACCTTCCCAGAGGTGGTGGGGAGGATGGTGTCCTGCCTCTTGTGGACTTTTCCATGCAGAGGAACTGGTCTGGAGTGGTTGGAGTCCCTCTGCCTCCTTTGCTATAATTAACCTGATTAATTTTGTATGAGGTGATGCAGCCTCCCAGCATCTGAAGGGGGCCTACAAGGATGCTGGGGAGGGACTTTTCATCAGGAACTGTAGTGATAGGACAAGGGGTGATGGGTTTAAACTTAAACAGGGGAAGCTGGGGTTGGATATAAGGAAGAAGTTCTTTACTGTGAGGGTAGTGAGACATGGGAACAGGCTCTGACCCCAGAACTGCGTCTGCCACAAGCCCACAGCAGTGGAAGCATCGGGAAATGGCAGGGTTGAACAGGTATTGATACCCGGAGCACATCCGGAGACCAGGACGCAGTGAACCTAATGGATCCAGAGCTCGCCATTAGCTGCAGCACAGGCGTCAGCAAAACTGCAGATATTAGAAACCTAACCCCAGCAAGAGGGAAGGGAGCTGGAGATCAGCCCAAATGCTCTTTCCTTTTCTGTTTCAAGAGGCAGGTGGGTCCCTGGTGGTGTTTCTGCAGAGTGCCCAGGCTTAGTCCCTCTTGTGCTGGCTGTTGGGTATGTGGAAGAGATTTGATTCAGAATGCTGCAATCTGTGTTAGTGTCAGAGCAGCTCTCCAGAGTTAGGCTTATGCTCCATCAGGCCCAGAAAAAGGCCAGTCAGCGTGAATACTTCACCTGCTGAGCATCCTCTTGGCATCACACAACCCGTAGTACAGGGAGGTAAAGCTGGAAGCAGTGTATTGAACAGCTATATCCTCCATCAGCTTATTGGGGGGGGGGGGGGGGTGTCTCAGCAGCACATTGGGGTGTTGGCATGTCTGGGTCCATGTCCTGGGTGTTGTGTCCAGTGTGCTGCAGCTATGATCACACAAAGCTTTCGGGATCTATCCTGCTCTTCCGCTGCTGCAGTGAGGGTCCAATGCAGCAC